AATGACTTAAGTTTATTGAGACCCTGCCTGGCCCTAGAGCTCTGTGTTAGAGACTTAAAAAAAAAAAAAAAAAAAAAAAAAAAGGTGTCTTTCACTGTTCTTAGTTTGCTGAGGGAGAAGAAAGTCCTACACAAATGGGTTAATATAATTTAGTAAATCCCGTTCTGGAATTTTGAGTGATATATTGGGAGAGCACAAAGTAGTAGTTATTGAATGCCACTGAATACCTCTTGGAGGAATCAGAAGACAGTTAGAACAAGATTCTGAACTGGGACTTTTAAAGAAGGTAGAAAAGGAAAAGAGCATGGAGTTGTTAAAGAACCTCGACTGTCTGGAGGCAGTGATTAAGTGTTGTGTGGCTAGAGAGTGTTTGTAGGGCAGCTGGCATAAGGGAGGTAGGGGTTGCAAAGGATTAGAAAATGGGGCTGTAATTGAAGAAGTTTGCCAAACTTAAGTAGTTTGCAGGAAGGAACCTACAGATGTATATAAGCAAGAGAATGACAAATGTACTTCATTCTCAGAAGAGAGCTCTGGTAGTAGGGTCGAGATAGCTTGGGTGGAATTACTTGCAGCAGTCCAGCCAAAATATATGATCTGTGACGGTGGACATCTAATTCAGTTTAGTATTTTCAAAATGGACTGAACAGTTTTAGAAACTGATTACTCTTAAGTGTTTAAGGAATAGCTTTTTTGTTGTGTTCTCTGGATTTATTCCTTTTTAACTTAGTTGTATGTTGATTTCTACTGATAGTATTGGGGCAGTTGAAGGCCACTTTGTGTAAAAGTACTTTGTACTTGTTAACATTTCAGAGGTGTTAAAAGGTGAGACATGTGCATCTTATGTCATACAAGGGTAAGTGTGCTTTGATATTTTCTGTTTTGTTTTATTTTATTTTATGTAAAATGGTTGGTCTTAATCCACTGATAACCTGCATTTTGAGAAACACTGCAGTTTGTGTTCATGATTTGTATTCAGCTTTTTATGTAAAAATAAATATGCTTTGTCAGTGGTGTTATTTTTATTTTCTTCTGACTTAGAGTTGTCATTAAAAAAATTAAGTAAGAGGCACCTGGGTGGCTCAGTTGGTTGAGTTTCTGACTCTTACTTTTGGCTCAGCTTATGTTCCCAAGGTCGTGGGATCAAGCCCTGCATTTGGCTCTGTGGTGAGCGTTGGAGTCTGCTTTCGATTCCTGCTCCCCCACCCCCGTCTCCCTCTGCCCCTCTCCGCCACTCACACGCTTTCTCTCTCTAAATTAAAAAAAAATTCAGTAAGATTGGTCGTTATTCTAAATGCAGAAAATTATAGGTATATCAACATATTGTGGAAGACTTGATACTGTATGCATTTTTGCTTCCAATTAAAAAAGTGCTTCAGAGAGAAAATGTAACAATAGGTTACCTCTTCATTTGATGCTAACCTTCTTATATTTCCAGTGTGATAAATATTAATAATGTTAAATAAGTTTTTCCCGGACATTCAGTATTCTATTTAAAAGAATTGAAATTCATGTTACAAAATTTAAAATACCATTTCCAAAGAGAAGTTCCAGCGTATGAAGGTACTTCTGTCTTTGTTCTGGAGAAAACTGATTTTACAGTCAGTTATTCAATTGCTTTAATATGATAGGACCTAGGTAAGACTTTATTGTCAGAGATCCCTGAGCCTCATTGTAATTTTTTTTTAAAAAGTCCACAGCATGGGGGCGCCTGGGTGGCGCAGTCGGTTAAGCGTCTGACTTCAGCCAGGTCACGATCTCGCGGTCCGTGAGTTCGAGCCCCGCGTCGGGCTCTGGGCTGATGGCTCAGAGCCTGGAGCCTGTTTCCAATTCTGTGTCTCCCTCTCTCTCTGCCCCTCCCCTGTTCATGCTCTGTCTCTCTCTGTCCCAAAAAATAAATAAATGTTGAAAAAAAAAAAAAAGTCCATAGCATGTTCCTAGAAATTGAGTAGTTCCCATTTCAGTAGCAGAGTTTTACAACTATAGTGTAAGATAGTTTTCCTTATTATATCCCCTGGTAAGCATATTTCCCTTCTAGTGCTTAACTACTTTGTGCTTCTGGATTGACTTGAATAGAGACAAGACATGGCATTCTCCTCAGAATGAATGAATTCAATCTAAATTAAAGATTAGAATGTTGTTTTATTCATGACATTTGTTAATTATTTTCAGTGTTCTAGGCATATAATATAATTTTTTTTTTAAAAGAAGTACAGTTGAACCTTGAACAATGCAAGAGTTAGGGGCACCAGTCCCCTGTGCAGTTGAAAATCTGTGTAAATCTTTTGACTCTCGAAAACTTAACTACAATAGCTTGCTGTTGACTGGGAAGCTTTACTGATAACATAAACAGCTGATTAACACATATTTTATATGTTATATGTATTATATACTGTATTTTTACAATAAAGTAAGGTAAAGAAAGCATTATTAAAATCATAAGAGAAAATACATTTGCAGTACTACACTATGTTTGTCAGTACCATAAGTTTATATCATCTGTGTATAAGATGAATTGTCAGTATCTATATCAATATTGTCTTAAATGGTACAAGTCTGTGTAGGTGTTGTATGTGTTAACTAACACTAGACACCAAAAATGAAAAGATAACCTGAAAAACACATTCATATATTACAGGTATACACAACAAGTCATGCATTGAAAGTGAAGAAGCAGTCATATGATTGTCCCACAGTAGCCTAGCCTATACACTAATGAATGAGTCATTGTAGCATTTTAATGGCATACAGAATTATAGTCATATTCATAATATATTATTGGAAACTGTTAGATTTTTAAAAAACACTTACGTGTGGTAGGCTGATATGCAGTTTTTTTCAATGACGAGAGACAGGGGCATACTATATGGTAATGTAATTCTTTGAAAGCAAAGTTATAAAACAGTAAGAAAACCAACACATTATTAATTTTGTATTACATATTACTCATTTTATGCCTATGTGAAGATAGGCTATCCACTACCATACAGGTTTTGCGCAGGATATTGTACATGGTGAATACTTAGGTGGTGATGATGATGATGGCATAAAAACATCTCACACAGTTCTTGCCTTACAGTTACTGGATTTTCATGCAAAGACATACAACAGGTAAATTTTTTAACTGTATGGCATGATGATTATTTCTATTCATTAAGTGGAAGTGGATCATCATAAAGGTCTTCATCTGTGTTGTGTTTCATGTTGAATGGGGAGGAGGAGGAAAAAAAGGAGGGTCTTGCTTTCTCAGGAGTAGTAGAGATGGAGGAGGTGAAAGGGAAGACAGTAGAGGCAAGCAAACTTGGTATAACTTTACATAAATACATCATAATTTTGGTCTGACTTTTTCGCTTTCTCAAAAATGTTTCTATACAGTACAAGTGACTTTTCTACCATTTGCCTTAGTTTTAGTGCTTGTATCATGGAAAGGCCATGTTGTAAAAGAAGTCAAAGCAGTCTTGAGTAATCAGAACCATTCTGCCAGATTGTTTAATGTCAGTTTGTTTTCTGACAATGCTTCTATGTCGTCTTTTTCGTTGTCTGGCATTGGTTTAGAAGCACTCATCTCTATCAAACCATCTTCTGTTAATTTCTCTGTTGTGGTATCTATTTGCTTTTGAATTTCCTCAAGACCCGTATCTTGAAAGCCTTAATTTCCCACCTATTTTGCCATATCCACATCTGTTTCGCGATTCCTTTGACTGGCTCTGTCGTTAATCCTGTGAAGTTATGTGTAACATCTTGACACTGTTTTCTCCAGCAGGAATTTATTGTTTCAGGGTCGATGGCTTTCACAGCTTTTTCTGTAACGATGTTGGTATCTTAAATGGTGTAATCCTTCCAGACTTTTATGATATCCTCTCTTTTGGGGTTCTCTTCCATAATGTTTTCAATGCTTTCCATAGGGAACCATGCAAAATGAATCTTAAAGGTCCTTATGACCTCTTGATCTAGAGGCTGAATTAAAGACCTTGTATTAGGGACAGGTAAGCCACTTTGATATCTTTGGTGTTCAACTCATAAGGTTCTAGGTGGTCAGGGGCATTGTCCAATACCAAAAGGGCTTTGAAAAGCAATCCCTTACTGGCAAGGTACTTCCTGACTTCAGGGACAAAGCATCAGTGGAACCAGTCTAGAAAAAGCGTTCTTGTTCAGCCTGTTCTACAACCAAAAGTCTGGCTGCTGATGGTTACCTTTTTCCTTCAAGGCCTGGGGGTTAGCAGCTTTACAGACAAGGACAGTCCTGATCATACACCTGACTGCATTTGCACAAAACAATAGAGTCAGCTTATCCCTTCCTGCATTAAATTTGGTGCTCGTTCCTCTTCCTTACTAATAAATATCCTTTGTGGAAATTTTTTTCCAGAGTAGGATACATTTGTCTGCCGTTCAGGCAGATATCCTTTCTCGTCAGTGATTTTTGTAATGGTGTTTGGGAGCTCCTCTGCTGCCTCTTGGTCTCAGAAGCCGCTTCTCCTGTTATCTTGACATTTTTAAAGCCAAACTTCTTTCTCAAATTATCAAACCATCCTGTGCTGGTATTAAATTCTTCAGTTTTATTAACTTCACCTTCCTTTGCCTTAAGTTGTCATGTACTGTAATGAGACTGCTTTTTCTCAAATCAATCTAGAGTCTATAGGTAGGCCATTCTTAACGGCAGTTTTGCACCCACCTACAAGCTGTATTTTCAAATCAAGAAAAAAAAAATTCATAAAGTTTCCCATATTTTTGCTCTCCTGCTGGTGTAGCTGCAGCAACAGCTTCGCAAATTTCCTTTTCTTTCTTTCTTTCTTTCTTTCTTTCTTTCTTTCTTTCTTTCTTTCTTTCTTTCTTTCTTTAACAATGGTCTTGATATTGGATTCATTTATCTAGAAATAGAAAGCAACTATATGTACTCAAACGGTAGTACATATCAAGCATTCACCTTTTTCTTTCTAATGTCCTGACTTTTCTGCTTCTTGGGAGCATTTCTAGCATCACCAGTGATACTTCATATGGGTCCCATGGCGTTGAAAGTTTATGTTATTGCACAAAACATGAACTATGAAAACTATGTGAGACCCATGAGAGATCAGTTTATTGTGCTACACATACTAGAGATGATTACCTTCACGTGGCTTTTTAAATGGATGCTCGCAACACGTGAGTTCACTGCAATAGCAACAAGTGGCTGTAAAATCATTACAGCAGTATACTGTGTACTACAGTTAATTTTATGCAGTTATGATTTATTATTACATCTTTGCATTTATTTACATTTCTCTTTGAATGGCACCATGTATGTTGTGGAAGTGTTTATGTAAGTTTTGATAAATTGTAACTTTTTGTAATAGGATTTTTATATATTTTATGGGAGTAAATGATAAAATAGGACTAGCATCTGCATATATTTTATGTGTTCATGACAAATCTAACTTTTTCTTAAGTTTTTTGTTATTTCTAGGCTACTTGGTGTGTCTGCAAGTTTTTTCATACTGTCACAAATCTCCAGGAAGTTTTCTGATATGTTTACTTAAAAAATTCCACATATAAGGGGAGTCGCTCAGTTCAGACCCATTGTTGTTCAAGGAACAACTATAATTTTAAAAATCTAAACCTTTATTTTTTAATTTCTCGGTTAGTAAGATTGGACATTGTTTCATATCTTTATTTGGCATTTACATGTACTCCCAGCCTATTTATGCTATTTGCTGGGTATTTCTGAAAAATATTTCTCCAATAGGTTTGCATATGGGAGAGAAAGTAGCGGACTGGTTACCCTTTTTGATAATGGTTTAGACAGGACTTTGAGTTCATATACAGGGGATATTACCTGAGGAGCCAATTGAAGCAAACATTTTGGTATAGATTATAGGCAGATCAGAGAACAGGCCTGGTTACAGAATACTTTCACTTGGTGCTTTTATAGGTGAGTAATTAATTAAGTGAATTAAAGTAAGTCCCATTCAGAGAGAGGTCTGGAACCTACAGAGTTTTAAGTGGTTGTTCTGGACATCAAAGCTTGTAGAAGTGTCTCTGGTCAATATTTTAAATTTTTAGTTAGTTTAAATGTATATGGTTTTCAAGGCTACTTATTTGTTTTATTTATTTATTTATTTATTTATTTATTTTTTTCAACGTTTATTTATTTTTGGGACAGAGAGAGACAGAGCATGAACGGGGGAGGGGCAGAGAGAGAGGGAGACACAGAATCGGAAACAGGCTCCAGGCTCTGAGCCATCAGCCCAGAGCCCGATGCGGGGCTCGAACTCCCGGACCGCGAGATCGTGACTTGGCTGAAGTCGGACGCTTAACCGACTGCGCCACCCAGGCGCCCCTACTTATTTGTTTTATACATCTATGAAACCAAAACATTTAATTTATAAATTACATGTAAATAGAAATTCAAACTAATGTTAACATGACATAATGTTTTATTAAAACTAAAGATTTAATGTTAGAATTAATATTGGTAGAAACCAGCTTCAGTTCTGGTTTTATTATTAATCTGTTTATGAATTTTGATTTTTTAATATTAATATAAAGAATGGCTATCCTGAAGGTGTGGTAAAATGATTTAATTCATTTTATGGACATGTTTATCTTTCTGTGATCCTTATGTTGAAATCTAAAAACTTTATTTTTTCTAAAGACTACTAAAGGGCACTTGGGTGCCAGTTTCAATACTGTGCCAGTTTGTAATTCTGTGAAGATGTCTTGTTTCATATCATGATAAGTGCCCCATGTGTTATTTGCTCTTTACTTAGAAGTAGCTGTACTCGTGAACATGAAACACAAATGTGGGCATTAAAATTACTCAGATCATCTGTAATGTGCTTATTAATTTTTTAAGGATGCATTGAAATGAAAGCCCCAAATTCTTATATAGAACTTGTTAACTTCCACAAGTCTTCAGGCTCCAATTTGAGAATCACTGTGTTAGCCATTCATAAAGATATGTGCTTCTATAGCTTTTATATAAAATTCAACAGATTCAAAATTGCTCTTTCAGATCATACTAACTTTTGTAAACTAGTAATAAATAGTTCACAGACTGGTACTGGTTCACAGATATACTTTGTGTGGCATTGTAATGGATACTAATTAATGAAGTATGCAGAAAAGCAAAATGAAGGATGAAACCACAAAAGGCAAATAAAAATTAAAAATGGAAAAGATAAGTAAAAATAAAGACTGAGAGAACATTGAAAAGTGATGTTAGCTAAAAAATAAAGATTTAATATAACTCAAGGGAAAATAGAGCAGAGAGCCAAGATGTTATGGTGTTTAACTTTTACCAAAACGTAACTAAAGAAATAAATACGCGATAATTTTAAATGTTAAGTGATAAGTATGTAATAGAAAAAAAAAAGATTTATTTTCCATTAGCATATTGCACTTAAATTATCATGCGGTATGATTCAATTAGGCTTTCCCTGGACCTCCATTCTCAGCTAATGCCTCTGTGTGGAATGATAGATGCCTGCATATCAAATATTCCAGAGCAGAGTGCTGGCATTTATAGACAGATAGATTTGACATTTTATTTTATTTTTTTTTTTTTATTTTTAATTTTAGAGAGACTGTGAGTGGGGTATTGGGGTAGAGGAAGAGAGAGAGAATCCTAAGTAGGTGCCACGCTCAGTACAAAGCCACATGTGAGGCTTGATCCCACCACCCTGGGATTGTGACCTGAGCTGAAATCGAGTCAGATGCTCAATTGACTGAGCCACCCAGGCATCCCGATTTGACATTTTATTTTATTATTTTTTTTAATGTTTTTTATTTATTTTTGAGAGAGAGAGCATGAGTGGGAGAGGGGCAGAGAGAGGGAGACAGAAAATTTGAAGCAGGCTCTGTGCTAATTGCACAAAACTCAGAGTGGGGCTCCAGCTCACAAAGTATGAGCAGAAGTAGGATGCTCAACCAACTGAGCCACCCAAACACCCCCTGATTTGAAAGTTTTAACAAGGCAGCAGTACGTGTTTAATTAAAAGTTCAATACCTGTAAGGGGAAATCAGAGTCCTTCAGCAGAGGAAGCTGCTAAGTCAGCATTGAATTTTTAGGTGTATGATATGTAAGTTTATTTGATGAATCTTAGATATCACTGATCTATTTTAATTATTTGGGACAAAAAATAACCTTTTTTTTTCTTTTTTTTTTTAGTTTATGTGTATTTTTTCTAAGGTCAAAAAAGATCTGTCTACTCATAGACATTGTAAATATGCTAACATTTGCATATTTTCCTTTGTAGGCCCAGATTATTCCTCATCAGCATGGTTACCTGGTAATGAGTCATTGTGGCAGGCCACAGCTGTTCCATCCAACCATCGAAATAATCATATCAGGAGACATAGTATAACTTCTGACAGTGGTGACACCGGCATTGGAACTTCTTGTTCTGACAGCGTGGAAGGTGAGCGGAAATTCTGAGTGTTTAGACATGAGCCTTCAGAATGGTTGTCATTGAGAACATTTAAGGGATGTATTTTGTTGTTCTAAAATAAGAAATTATAAAGTAGTGTTTGAATATTTAATAATGTTCAGTGTTGTTATATATCAGAATTCTTTCTCTGATCATATTAGTTTTTCCCTCATTCACTTTTAAACTATTTATTTTGAGATAATTGTAGATTCACATCCAATTTTAAGAGACAGTGCAGAGATTTTATGCATTCTTTATTCAGTACCTCCAACCCCCACCCATGGTAATATCTTGCAAAACTCTACACTATGGTATCACAACCAGGATATTGATACAGTCAAAATACAGAACATTTCTATCACTGCAGTGTATACTTCGTGTTGCTCATGCTCCCCCATCTCCCTTAACTCTTGGAATCCACTAATCTATTCTCTATTTTTATAACTTTTTCATTTCAAGAATGCTGTATAAGAGGAATCATACAGTATGTAACCCTTTAATTTTTTTTTTTTTTTTTTTTTTTTTTTTTTTTTTTTTTTTTTTTTTTTTACGATTCATTCAGGTTGTTGTGTATGTCAATAGTTTATTGCTAAGTAGTATTTGGCATTGGTGGCATTAGATAGACCACATTTTGCTTCACCATTTACCCACTGAAAGATACTTTTCAGTTTCAACTATTGGGAATAAAGCTGCTATAAGCATTCATGTGCAGGTTTTGGTATAAACATATGTCTTCATTTCTCTGTGGTAAACATTTAGGAATGAAGTTGCTGGTTGTATGGAAGTTGTATGTTTAGTTTTTAAAGAAATTGTCACACTGTTTTTCAGAGTGATTATTTCATTTCCATTTCATGGATCATCGTGAAGGATCTAGTTTTTTCTTCATTCTAGCTAGTATTGGTGGGTTTTTTTAAGTATTTTTCTTTTAATATTTTTTAATGTTTTTTTATATTAAATATCATTTATTGTCAAATTGGTTTCCATACAATACCCAGTGCTCATCCCAACAGGTGCCCTCCTCAATGCCCATCACTCACTTTCCCCTCTCCCCAACCCCCATCAACCCTCAGTTTGCTCTCAGTATTTAAGAGTCTCCCATGACCTGTGGGGCATGAGCGATCGGATTGTTAGCGTCGACTTCAGCCAGATCCGATCTGATGCATCGTGTCTGAGTGAGCCCAGCGCAGGCTCTGGTGAGCCTCAGAGCCTGGAGCTTTTCCGATTCTGTGTCTCCTCTGTCTCTCTGCCCTCCCCCGTTCATGCTCTGTCTCTCTCTGTCCCAAAAATAAATAAACGTTGAAAAAAAAAAATTAAAAAAAAAAGTCTCTTATGGTTTGCCTGTTTTATTTACTTTTGAGAGAGAGAGAGAGAAGAAAGAGCGCGATGAGCTTAAAATGGGGAAAGGGAAAACAATTTTGAGAGGGAGATACAGAATTTGAAGCAGGCTCCAGACTCTGAGCTGTTAGCACAGAGCTTGACATGGAGCTCGAACCCACGAACCATGAGATCATGACCTGGGCTGAAGTCAGACACAACTGACTGAGCCGCCCAAGTGCCCTGCATTGGGCAAAAAAAATGAACTTCAATCTTAGTTGTACGAAAAGATTAAGTCACCATGTTTCGGTTTTCAACATCTTGTACATTCTAAGACAGGTTTGACCCTTGTCTGGCTCCAAAGAGGTAACCTCTAAACTCTTGGAATATCCTGCTTAATAAGAGTGTCTTTGTTTACCTGGGGACCTTGGTTTTCAACCTTGGTGGTTTTTAAATTCTGGCCTTTCTGATGAGAATGTAGTGGTATCACTGTGGTTTTAATTTTTATTTCCTTCAAGATTAATAATGTTGGACAATTTCTTCACATGCTTATTTTCCATCTCTATTCTCTTTGTTGGTATGTTTCTTCATGTCTTTTGCCCGTGTTTTAATCAGATTATTTCCTTTATTTTACTGTTGAGTTTTGAGAGTTCTTTATGTATTTCGGATACTAACCCTTTGTTGGCTATATGGTTTGCAAATATATTCTTCCACTCTGTAGCTTGTCTTTTTATTCTCTAAAAGTGTCTTTTGCATAAACATAAAATTGGATGTTTAGTGTGGTTTTTTTCTATATGGATTTTGCTTATAGGGTCAAGTCTAAGAACTCTTTGCCTAGTCCCAGATCTTGAAGATATTCTCTTAATTTTTTTCTTAAATTTTTATCATTTTTTCTTTTCCATTTAATTCCATGATCCATTTTTGAGTTAAATTTTTATAAAGTAAGTATGTTTGGGTGTCTCCAAGACCACCCTTCATACCAGTGATTTGCTTTAAGGAATCACAGAACTCAGAAGAGCTGTCATACTAATGGAATCAGCCATAGAGAAAGAAGCAAAGGGCAGGATCTAGGAGACACTAGGCCCAAACTTGCATTGTCTTCTCCCAGTGGAATTGTGTCTGCTTAATTCTCCCAGCAGTGATTTGTGACAGCACATACAGAGTTTTGCTAACCAGGCAAGTTCCACCCAAGCCTTGGTGTCCAGGATTTTTATTATGGTTTGGTTATGTTGGCATGGTTGACTCCATGTGTGGATTATCTTACTCTGTAGTCCTTGAGAGGTCAAGCTGGTATCACATGATTCAAGCCTTCCACCATAAATCGCATTATTAGCATAGACCATATGAAGCAACCCAAGGTCCCCAGGTAAACAAAGACACTCTTATTAAGCAGGATATATTAAGGTTTATAGGTTACCTCTTTGGAGCCAGATACGGGTCAAACCTGTCTTAGAATGTACAAGATGTTGAAAACCGAAACATGGTGACTTAATCTTTCCGTACAACTAAGATTGAAGTTCATGTTCTCTGCCCAATAAGTCTTGAAATTGGGTAGAATAATTATTCCCATTTTATTCTTTTTCAAAACAGTTTTTGCTATCTTCATTCCTTTGCTTTTCTATATGTTTTAATAATTTTGTCTATATGTACCAAAAATTTTGCTGAGAATTTTATAGGAATTGTGTTATCTATATATCACTTTGGGCAGAATTGACATATTTACTCTCTTCAGTTTTCTAGTCCATTAACGTGGTATAGTTCTCCATTTATTTAGATTTTAACTTTACTCACCAATGTTGTACATGTTTTGTTAGATTTATACCTGAATATTTCTTTTTTTTTT